ACGGTGGAGGACAGATGCCGAGTATTGCATCATCCGGGCCGAAGCGGCCGTGCGGGTGCCCGAGCATGTCGACGCGGCCAAGTACGCGCCCATCCTGTGCGCGGGCGTGACCGTCTTCAACTCGATCCGCCACATGGGCATCAAGCCGGGCGAGACGGTGGCCGTCCAGGGCCTGGGCGGCCTCGGCCACCTCGCACTCCAGTACGCCCGGCGCATGGGCTACCGCGTCGTGGCCATCTCGCGGGGCACCGATAAGGAGAAGGCGGCGCGCGAGTTTGGCGCCCACCACTACATTGACTCGACCAAGGGCGACATTGGCGAGCAGCTGAATGCGTTGGGCGGCGCGGCGCTAGCCATCACGACGGCGAGCACGGCCGAGGCCATCACGCCCCTGATCAAGGGCTTGGGGGTTCTGGGGAAGCTACTCATCTTGAGCGTGCCGCGCGAGCTCCCGGTTGATGTCTACGCCCTGCTCAAGCGCGGCATCTCGGTGCAGTCGTGGCCGAGCGGCCATGCCGCCGACTCGGCCGATGCCATTGTGTTTGCCGAGCTCAATGACATTGAATCTGTCATTGAGAAGTTCCCGCTGGCTGAGGCCCAGAAGGCGTATGGTATGTATCTTGCCCTTTTGATGTGCGACACAGTGTCCGAGTCGGTCGCTAATAACGGGAATTCAGAGTCGATGCTGAGTGGTACTGTTCGCTTCCGGGCTGTCATTACGATGGAGTGAGTGGTGAATATTCTTGCTGAGTTGCAGCGGAGGCGGGCATGTTGTTTGTGTCTAGAGAACTGCTGACAAAGTCAGACACGCAAAGAAGCAGGCAGTTGGGCGGGTGAAGGGGGCTGTGAGGAAGCTTTGGGGCTTGTTGCTTGCATGTTTTGGGCATTGATCGCACCTTCCATATCAACAAAGCCATAATTACCACCTTGGTTGATGCTTTACCTCAGACGTAAAAAAATTTCATTTCTGGGTTGTCCAATATTCCAGCGTCGAGGCAAGGTTGCTGTGTTGCTTTGTTTGATTCTTGGCCCCCGCGTTCCATGAGATTCCCCGTCCCTTCCTTCAGAAATCTCGTCCCACACGGCTCCTCTTCTATGTCTAGTCTAGTGGAAGAAGGCACCATGCCACAGCACTCGCCGGCGTGTTACCCGTTCCTTCCCATCGCTAGCAGGGTAGAATCATGCGGTTTCGAGGTTGTGACCTGGTCCGTGCGGCTTTCAGCGTTCAGACAGCTGGCTGTTCACTCCATTTCGACATCATTTCCAACCCCCACCACCACAACGCGACTTCCTCACACCGTGACAATTCGCCATCGCATCGCCAACATCGGCACGCTCGGCACACTCGGCACAGTCTGAACCAGCACGATGGCAGAGGCAGCAGAGGACATGGATGACTTTGTGCAAAAGCCCGAGTCGGCCGAAAAGAAGCGCAACGCATTCACCGAGCTCATGGCGCCCAAGCCCAAAGCCGCCAAAGCCGACACGGCCGACAGCAGCATCCACGGCAAGAAACTGAGCCAGGCCCTGAAAAGGCTGGGCAACTGGCGAGGCGCTCTGCTCGAGTACATCCAGCACCCCGAGCACTTCTCGAGCGTGGTGCGCGTCACGCCCAACACGGTGCTGATCAGGGACATGTACGCCAAGGCCACCATCCACCTGCTACTGCTCCCGCGCTCTCCGGCCCACTACGACCTGCACCCCCACAAGGCCTTTGAGGATGCCGCCTTCCTGGCCATGATGAAGGAAGAGGCCGCCAGCGCCGCCCGGCTCGCAACCGCCGAGCTCGCCCGCCAGCTGTCGCCCTTCTCGGCGACCAGCAAGACCCGCAACGACGCCATGGACGCCGGCGTCCCTTTTGCCGACCTGCCCCCCGGCCGCGACTACCTGCCCGACATCCAGGTTGGCATCCACGCCCACCCGTCCATGTCGCACCTGCACGTGCACATCATCTCGCGCGACAGCCACTCGGACATGCTCAAGCACCGCAAGCACTACAACAGCTTCCACACTCCCTTCTTCATCCCCCTTGCCGACTACCCCCTGCCCGAGGACGATGTGCGCCGCCAATCGTCTTTCCAGAATGCGAACCTGGATGCCGAGTTTGTCTGTTGGCGCTGCGGCGAGGCCTTTGGCAGGAAGTTCTCGGAGCTAAAGAAACATCTCGAGGTCGAGTTTCAGTTGTGGAAGGCAGAGTGATTGCCCTTTCGCTTTTCTTGGATTCTATCTGGATGGCAGTGAGAGGATGTGGATGGTGTTGTTGGATTGTGTCAATGTAGCATGATGCTAGCTGCAAAATCTAGAGCAGGCCTCACGATGTGTGGTCGGGCGCCAGGGAATGAGACCGGGCTATGACGCGGTAGGAAACCCTATTAAGACACAGGACATTGCCTCCCGTTTGCTAGAGCGGGATAGTCCGCGCTTGGGAGTTGGTGTTCCCCACAACCGCAGTACGATGACCGGGGACTAGCAATGTTCCGAATTTTCTGCCCCGTCGCGTGTTGTGATACCATGTGAGCTGCCTCCCGTTCCAAGAAAGTTCGGTCGAAATTATGGGCACTCCAAACTCCGGAACGGTATGATATAATTACGCTGGTAGCAGCAGCCTTGGACACCCTCTCGCTTTCCCCCCCTCCCCCCCCCAACAGCCTCAACATGACAATACACTTGTGCCTACCACCATGAAGCAATCAAGGCTCTATCAGAACTCTCTCTCCATCCTAGATGCAACCAGCCTCGCCATTCCTCCCAAGCCCGTGCCGGCGCAGATCCCCGCGGGCTGGGTCCAGCGTGTTGGGGGTCTGGTCGTCGTCAAGCTCAACTACCGCGTCAACATCCTCGGGTTCCCGCACGCCGCGGGGCTGGACGGCGCGGTGCAGAACCTTGGGCTGCTGGACCAGCGCCGGGCGGTCGAGTGGGTCAGGGAGAATATCGCGTCGTTTGGGGGCGATCCGGAGAGGGTTGTGCTCTGGGGCGAGAGCGCCGGCGCCGTGTTGGCCGGATTCTACCAGTTTTGTCACGGCAGGTCAGAATGAAGAGAGACAATGCTGCAATAACCTATCCTTGATTGTGTAAAAACAAGCTAAGGAGAGAGAGAAGGAAGAAGGATGAGTGGCGGCCGGACTCTGGACTTTTGTAAGAGTCCTAGGCAACTCGGGCCACTTGTTCTTCCAGTGAATGGCTATCTTCGTGGTGGGAGGAGTTTACGTGACGGTGTATGGCATGCGTGCCGGCCGTCACAAGTTTGGGTACCCGCGCGACGGCGGGGTGCGGGCTGTGGTGATGGATTCCGGGTCCGAGACGTTGCCGGCTGCGGTGCTGTCGGACGGGGACGAGGGTTTGGGAATTTTAGCGCCGTGGCCCGCGGGTTCGGTTGCGGAGGCCTGCGGCCTGAGGAGGTCGAGTGCGTGCGGGGCGTGGCGGTGGAGGAGGTCGAGCAGTTTATCGAGCAGAGCAGCGCCGAGGGGGCCGGGCTCATCTTCACGCCCGTCGTGGATGGCGTGACGGTGTTTGGGAACTACACGGAGCAGGCGCTGGCGGGGGAGGTGGCTAAGATTGTGAGTGCCGGCGGCTGAGGACGGCGGGCGAGGGTATTCTGATTCTGCTGACATGACTCCAGCCGACCATCATCGGAACCAACACCAACGACAGCGTCGCCTTTGTGCCCGGCTGCTTTCCAGGCGTAGGTATACTTCGTAGATATTTTCCATGGTTGTGTCTGGAAATGTGACGGTAAAGTAAAGTTGGCCATGAATATCAAAATGGCTGTCAGTCTGAGAGCAGTAAGTACTATCAAGCCGTGCGTCATGCAGAATTATAACGTAAATGCAAAAATCGTTGAGGTTCCCATCCAGCAAGTGGTTTTGATTCAATACCGTATGGTTGAGGAAGGCGAGATAGCTGGGATGCAGTTCGCTATTAACGTTGCATGAATCAACGTTCAACTCCGACGGTATAGGATCCACCAATCTATCATTAGTGCCGAACCCCAAATTCTTATTATTCTCTTAGTTTAGGACCATATGTCACCGTAACCCAGCTGAAAAAAATGGAATGTTTGAATTGTATACGAGTGCACTTTTATAGCCATCGAGGTACATTCGTCAGCAATCCACAACACTACTCATCTCTTACCCAGCGAATATGCAGCGCGGTAAATAGAAGGGCGTCCAGAAGTATCAAACGTTAATCATCAGTTCCGCTTAGTGTTAAACGAGTAACTGAGACAATCCAAGTCATGTATCGTTGCCAGCACCACTGGAAATGTTAGAGTGGAGTCCGTTGCTCAATATGGCGTGTTATTCGCGTGATAGGGAGTTGAGATCGGAATCTCGGGGAAAGCCCGAAATTTTCAGGGTCCACCGTGTCTTAGCTTCTACAAATGAATGCCTGGCTATACAATCGAGAGCCGAAGGCGGCAGGGGGCCTTGCAGTTGTTGTATCAGCCCAATGCAACATTCCCGGTGGTGGTCTCTCGGCCACCATCTGGGCCCCGTTTCGGATCCAGGTCCGCAACATATCGCGTCCCGAGGTGCACAACAAATTCCTGAACTTGCTCATGGCGGGCGGAGGCGACCGTCATCTGTACATCGACCCCGTGGGCGAGCCCACCTTCGACCTCACCCTGGTCGACGGCGTTATCAACTGGATCACGGGCGCCCCGGTGTGCGGGCGACAAGGACGAGGTTTGTTGGGGGGGGATGCGTGGTTGAGTTTGTATCAGGGGTGTGAGGGGGTGAGTTTTTATCAGCGGTGTGAGGGGGAGGAGTGTGTGAATGTTGTGTTTACCTAACGTGGGTTTTGGGAAAAGGGGTGGTGGGAATTCATTTCGAGCTGATACGAGCAGGAATACATCGGTGACTTTTAATAAGAACGGTGGAATAAGGAACTGCCATGCAGCTAGATATGGAGAGACTACTGTCGTGTGCACCCTGGACTTACAACTTGAAGAATCCATTCAAAGCAGGGGAGAGGGAGGAAGGATCAATGAACAAAAAGATGGGGCCACCCGGGGATTGAACCCGGGACCTCTCGCAAATACTGCTGTAGGGTGTAACCCTAAGCGAGAATCATACCACTAGACCAGCGGCCCTGATTGGATCAGATATGTCTGTCAGTTGCGAAATGGACATCATCAAGGAAAGAACGACTGAATTCTTCCCATATTGTGTGCTTGCACTTCCATTGGAAGTCTCCTAACATTCTCGGGAGGTATCGCTGTCCGGAGGTAGCTAATCCAATTTGTGGGATTACGGAAAGATAACTTAAAGAAGGTTGGGAAATCAAAGCTCAGCAGCTCTGCCCCAGGTTGCAACAGTGAGTAAGTTCAGTAAAAGAAGAAATAAAGTTGGAAAAGAAAGACGTAATAGGACGAATTCCTCACTTCGAGCTCACCACCACTAGATCTGCCGACGGAGGACCCTCGTAGTCTCTCCAGGCTTGGAGAGGTCGTACGCTACGCCGAATTTATCTTGATCTATTCCCGCCCCTAATCACTTTGTGACGCCGCGTCAATCTCACGTTGGAAGGCACACAAGTTCCACCCGCATATCTCATGCCAGACACACCCACTATCACACATCCAATCTCCCTTTTGAAGTTGGTGGGTTATTCTCGAGGAATCTTGCTAAAGATGCCAAACCATCTGCTCTGGCATTGGTGAAAGACTTGGAACGGGAAGATCCCCATAAAACTTCATAGCCGGAACCGCCGCTGCAGAGACGCACACATCACCACACATCCACAGCGACATCACAAGGCGCAAACACACCAGCAACCGTATCAACAGTCTATTGTGCTAGAAAAGCAGAATGCCAGTGCTGTTCGCATGCCGTATTTATACACAAGCCCCCTAGGATATTTCCCCGGCAGGACTAGGCCAAGCCCCTAGAAGCGCCTGCATGCGCAACCACTGTATGTACTCCGTCCACTCCCAAATGCCCCGCCTATGTCTCGGTCGAGTGCTGCACGAGCAGCTGGCGGAGGGGTCCCGGCTTGCCGCCAACAAACTCGTCGACCTTCTCGCCGTCCTTGAAGAAGATGAACGTGGGCATGGCGCGGATGCCGAGCTCCTGGGCGAGCTCGGGCACGTCATCGACGTCGAACTTGGCAAAGTGAACCTTGTCCTTGAACTCGGGCTCCTCGGCCCACCTACGAGAAACAGTCAGCAGCGGCGCGCTACCTTGCTGGGGTTGGGGGCTTGGGAGGAGAAGTGACGTACTTGGCAATGGTGGGGGCAATGGCCTTGCAAGGGCCGCACCACGTCGCGAACGCGTCGACGATGACAATGTGCTCTCTAGCGACAGTCTCCTTGAACTGCTCGCGGCTGTGGTGCAAGCGTGTTAGCGCGTCTTTAGCAAGGAGGGGATGCGCGAGTGCGCCGGGCGCGAGGGGAGCGCAAGACGTACGTGGCAATGTTGTGGATGGTCATGTTGGGCGAGCTTGTGGTGAAGTGTCTCGGTGCGATGGGTAGAATGGCAATCGGTCTGGATCGGAGGGATCTGAGGGCGGGTCTGAGTATCGATGGCATTTCGAGGGAGCGGGGAGGAGGGGGCAGGGGCGGGCGACGAGGTTTTAATTCAGTCAGGAACGCAGAGATCACGGGTGGAGCTTTCTGGATGATGTAAAAGGCTTTCGTCCCGTGGATTTGTCAGTGTGACAGTGCGCAGTGACGCGACCGGCCAGCTCCCCGCCCCACTCCCGCCAGGCTGGGAAGGATCGATGGACCCCACCAAGAGAGCCCCCCCAAAAGGCCTGCCGGAAACACCAAAAGCACCGCGGGGTTGCCGTGCCTCGCCATAACTCGTCATCATGTATTTGTCTTTGTGCTTTTGCTTTCCGAATCATGTCCGCCGGCCTGTGTGATTCCTCATCAGGGTCACGCAGCACGCAATGGCGGCATTCCCACCGCTTGCGTACTTATTTCCTGCATGCCCGTTGCCAGTCGACCTCACAGATGCCGCGCTGAAAGATTCCAAATGCTGAAAAATCGGAGTTGTCCCACCCGAGGAGATGTGCAATCCCACGTTTTCATTGCTGAGTCTGACCCAGCGGACATGGCCGCAGCCCGATCAACCCTAACCCATGACAGCTAATGTCGCACACCGTCACACCGTCACACCGTCACAATGTCACACCGTCACACCTTGTCGATATATTTAGAATTACCGATTCAGCGATGGGAGCGCGAACCCATGGAACACTCGTAGATTTCTTGGCAATTTTATACACTATAATTTATAGTTGTTTCAGTTTCCTTTGTTCCCCTCTTATCAAGAGATTCTGCGACCGATATGCAACACAAACCAGCTCGATACCAGTAGCCTGTACCTTCATGGCATCATCACTGCACGACGGCCGCGATGAGCAGCCCACCTGAGACTGGACCGCGCAGCCAAATATATCTATCCTGTACAATCTCGTGTGCCAAACCCCAAGTTGACGGCCCTTGGTTTTGCATATCCCCCTCACACTTGCAGAAATCCAAAACCGCTGCATCAAGCCGGCCTACTGATGTTTTCCTACCCATCCATCGGAACGAGCACAGTCGGCCCAAAGTCCTGCAGCAGCCCAGTATCGCAATTGACCCCATATCGCTCCCCATCGCCCTCGCCCACCGAAAACCGATAGCGCCGACACTCTGCCTACAACCATCAGCACGCATCCCCACCTCCCTCACCAGACCGCAAACTCACCACAAACCGCCAACCGCTCCCCCTGCACCAGATACGCCGCGAACCCCCGGTGCGTAACCACCCAGACATGGCGATATCGCCCGCCCAGCCCCGCCAACCGTGCCCTGACGCCCTCGGCGCGCGCCGCGGCCTCCTCGGGCCCGGCGTCCGGCGGGTAGTCCCACCGCTCGCGGCACTCGCCGAGATCGAGATCGAGAGCGGGGAACCGGCGCGCCAGCTCGGCACGGTCCACGCCGCGGTTGCAGGGCTCGCGGCGCGCCTCACGCAGATCGGGCCAGACCTGGACGGCGGCGTGCGCCGTGAGGGGCTGGTTCGGGGGGAGCAGGTGGCCGAAGGCGAGGGCGGCGGTTTGGATGGTGCGGGTCATGGGGGACACGAGGAGCAGGTCAGGGAGGGCGGCGGGGCGCAGTGCCAGGGCTTGGGCGGTGCCGGCTGCTGTGAGGGGCGGGTCGGGGTGGGGGTAGGGTTTTTGGATGCTAATGTTGGGTTAGTTGGGGGCGGGGACGGGGGACGGGGGACGGGGGGGGAGGGTACTTGTGGAGGGATTCGCCGTGGCGGAGGATGTGGATTGTTGTCGTGAGATCTGGAGGGGCGGGTGAGTTGATGGAGCTGGGGCCGGGCATGCGTTCGATGATGGGTGTCTGACTGTCTTGGTGGTTTGGTGTTGAGGTCATTTCGGTGGGATCGACCAGGCACTCGGCTATCAAGACTTTCTGATGAGCTGACAGCGACAGAAATCTCGTTTGCGGCTCTTCGACAGTGTTGTTTCGAGGCACCTAACGTCGTTCGGTCTGAGTTTGGGGCCTAACTTTAGCCCAAGGTGCTTACCTGTAGCCCGGACAAATCGGTGATAAGACAGTTCATTACAGCGAGAAAAAGCCCACAATCAAACTTCTGTAAGCAGGCTGGAGTATTACCTAGACACCAGATGAAGAACACAAACGCCTCACATGGCGACGTGACAGCGAGACCCCATTGCCAACAAATAGCAGGAGGGAATGCTGGACCGAAGAATCAGAAGCCGAGCTCGGCCCCCTCTCAGCAGCGGCGTCAGGGGCATTCATTCCGCGAAAGGGGCAGCCAGACAGCCGGAGTGCGGAAGGCGGTCGCGGTCGCGGTCATGGCTGCATAAGATCTGATTCGAATTCCGCATGGCCACTACAGCACTTCAAAAATCTCAGTATCCGCCGGTTCTGGCGGGTAACTGCGGCCCGGGGACACAACGGATTCGCGCCGTGCTGGCTATGGTTCCTTCCTGTGCTGCATGACGCACATCACAGCCGAACCCGGCGACTGAGCCAGTGCGATAGGCGACATGGAACCTAGGTGCGGGTGCGGAAGCGGGTACGGAGGATGCGGGGGGATGGGGGCCTGCGTGGCAAGGTGACATTGAGCCGCTCTCACGCTGGGGTTTGCCCTGTTGGGGCTGTGGACGGAGAAAAATAGAAGGGATAAGTTGCAACCATTTTGGAATCTCTGACCACCGAACAGTACCAATTAGCAGCATCACGGCTTGTGACGACACCGAGAACTGCCTGGAAGACGATTGGCTGCTTTAGAGCACTGGAGCATACGTGACAAAATGCCGACCATCGTGGTTTTGGGGTGAGTCCATCCCCTCCCCCGGCACCGGGACCGAGAGACAAAGTGCGGCAAGCTCACCTAACCCCGCCAACAGAGCTGGCGTCAGCGGCCTCACCTGCGCCCTCCAGCTGGCCAAGCGCAAGGAACACGCCGTGACGGTGGTGGCTAAGCACATGCCCGGCGACTATGACATCGAGTACACATCGCCGTGGGCCGGCGCAAACGTCCTGCCGTAAGCAGCACCACGCATGTCCCGCAACGTGACAAGCCGGCTGACTAGCTTGTGCAGGATGGCGCTAGAGGAGACCAGCCGGTGGGAGAGACGGTCGTGGCCGGAGCTGAGGCGGCTGGCCATCGAGGTGCCCGAATCCGGCATCCACCTCCAGAGTCAGTCAACCGCACCATCCCCAGCCAGGGCAGAATTCTGACACAGCATAGAGGCACGGGTACTACGCCGCATCAAGGACGAGGAGGCGGCCTTCAAGGGCTCGCTCTCGGACGGCCTCTTCGTCGTCGACCCGTGGTACAAGACCATGATGGACGACTTCCGCGAGCTCGACACCAGCGAGCTGCCGGCGGGCATCCGGTCGGGGTGCGAGTTCGGGTCCGTGTGCATCAACACGGCCGTGTACCTGCCGTGGCTGGTGGGCCAGTGCGCAGCGCGCGGCGTGGTGTTCAAGCGGGCGGCGCTGAAGCACGTGTCCGAGGCGGCGGCGCTGAGCCACACGGGGCGGCGGGCCGACGTGGTGGTCAACGCGTCGGGGCTGCAGGCGTGCCGGCTGGGCGGGGTCATGGACGCGACGGTGCAGCCGGC